TTAAAAAATGTTTATTCAAATCCTCTGCCCATTTCTTAGATGGATTGTTCCATTATTTGCTCTTGAGTTTTTAAGTTCTTTTTTTTTTTTTGCTGGTTTATAACATTATATAACTTTCAATATTCTGGGCTTCCCTTGTGGTTCAGTTGGTAAAGAATCCGCCTGCAATGCAGGAGACCTGGGTTCGATCCCTGGGTTGGGAAGATCCCCTGGAGAAGGGAAAGGCTACCCACTCCAGTGTTCTGGCCTGGAGAATTCCATGGGCTGTATAGTCCATGGGGTCGCAAAGAGTCAGACATGACTGAGCGACTTTCACGTTCACTTCATACAATATTCTATTTCTATATTCTCTGCAGTGTGCTCACCAACAAAGAGTTACTTCCCATCTGTCGCCATACAGTCAATCCCCTTTACCCATTTGGCCCCAGCCCCTTCGCCTCTGATAACCACTACTCTGTACTCTGTATTTATCTGTTTGCTTTTGTTACATTTAGTTTGCTCATTTAGTTGGGGTTTTTCTTTTTTTATTTTAAAAAATATTCCATTTAAGAGTAAAAGCATTTATTTTTTTTCAACTGATGTATCTCACTTGCTGTTGAGTGGTATGAGTGCTTCATACATTTTGGATATTAGTCTCTCAGCAGACACAGGGTTTGCAGACATCTCCCAGTTGGCAGGCTGTCTCTGCATTCTGCTGACGGGGACAGAAAGCGTTTAATCTGATATAGTCTCATTTGAGTTTTGTTTGTTGGTTTGGTTTTTTGAAAGATCTTGCTATGACTGACAAAAAGTATACTATCTCTTCTACGAATTTTATGGTTTGAGGTCTTATATTCACGTCTTTAATAGAGTTTGAGTTTATTCTTTTACATGGCATAGGACAGTGATCTAGTTTCATTCTTTTCCATGTGACTATACATCTTCCAAACACAATTTATTGAGAATATTTTTTTCTCCATTGTATGTTCTTTGCTCCTGTCATAAATTAATTATATATATATTTGTGTGGATTTCTGGGCTCACAATTCTTTTCACTGGTCTATGTGTCCAATTTTCTGGCAATACAATGCTGTTTTAATTATAATAGCTTTGTGATATAACTTGAAGTCAGGGAGTGTGATGCCTCCAGTTTCATCCTCTCTTCTCAGGATTATTTTAGTTATTCAGGGTTGTCTTTTTGGTTCCATACAAATTATAAGATTTTTTGTTCTACTTCTGTGAAAAATATCCTTAGGGTTTTGATTTGCTGTTGTTTAGTTGCTAAGCCAAGTCCAACTACTCTTTTGTGACCCTATGGACTATAGCCCACCAGGTGCCTCTGTTCTTGGGATTTTTCAGGCCAGAATTCTGGAGTAGATTGCCATTTCCTTCTCCAAGTGATCTTCCCAACCAGGAATTGAACCCACATCGCCTGCACTGGCAGGCGGGTTCTTTACCACTGAGTCACCAGGAAACCCTTGGGATTTTCATCGGTATTACATTGAATCCATGCATCATTTTATGTAATATGAACATTTTAATAACCTTAATTTTTCCAGTCCATGAACATAGAATATCTCTCCATTTCTTTGTGTCATCTTTAATGTTTTTCAATAACATCTACCAGTTTTCAGTGTACATGTCTTTCACATCCTAGAATAAATTTACTCCTAGGTATTTTTCTTGTTTCAATTGTAAATGGGACTCTTAATTTCTTATCCTGCGAGTTGGTTGTTAGCATATAGGAACACAAAAAATTTTTGTTTTACATTGACTTTGTACACAGAAACATTATTGTTTTCATTAATTATTTCTAATAGTTTTTTTATGGAGTCTTTAGGGTTTTCTATATATAACACCAAGGGTTTTCTATATATAACACCATGGGATTCACAAATAGTGATAGATTTACTTCTTCCTTTCTAATTTGGATGCTTTTTATTTCTTGTTCTTGACTGATGGCTGTGGTTTGGACTTCCGATACTTTGTTGAATAAAAGTGTGATAGTGGACATCATCATCTTGTTCCTGATCTTAGAGATCTTTTTCACCTTTGAATATAAGCTGTGAATTTGTCATGAAAGTGAAAGTCATGCAATCGTGTCCAACTCTTTGCAACCCCATGGGTTCTCCAGGCCAGAATACTGGAGTGGGCAGCCTTTCCCTTCTCCAGGGGATCTTCCTAACCCAGGGATTGAACTCAGGTGTCCCATATTGCAGGAGGATTCTTTACTAGCTGAGCCACCAGGGAAGCTGTGCATTTGTCATATATGCCCTTTATTATACTGAGGTACATTCCTTCTATACACACTTTATTGAGAGTTTTTATCATAAAGGGGTTCTGAGTCTTGTCAAATGTTCTGTTGCATCAATTGAGATGATCATATGATTTTAATCCATTATTTTGTTAATGGGATGAATCACATTGATTGATTTGTGGGTGTCAAACCATCTTTGCATCCCTGGAATAAATCACACTTCATTATGGTATATGATCCTCTTAACGTACAGTTGCAGTATGTAAAGGGGATTGGTTCTAAGATTTGCCATGGACACCAAAATCTGCCAGATACTCAAGTCCCATAGTTGGCCCTATATATCCATGGTTCCACACCAGTGGATTCAACCAACTGTATACCATATAGTTTTGTCTTTACTACAGGGAAAAAAGCCATGTATAAGTGGATCCATGAAGTTCAAAACCTGTGTTTTCAAGGGTTAGTCGTATTGTTTATTTGGCTTACTAATATTTTGTTGAGGACTTTTGCGTCTATGCTCATGGGAGATAATACCCTGTGATTTTCTTTGTGTTTCCTGTCTGATTTGCAGATTCAAGTAATGTCAGCCTCATAAAATGAGTTGAGGCACTCTTTCCTCTTCAATTTTTTGGGAGAATTTGAGAATTTGAATGCTTGGTAGAATTAACAGTGAAGCAATCTGGTTCTGGACTTTGTTTTTTGGAATATTTTCTATTATTGTCTCAATCTTCTTCCTCTTGATCTGCTTATGCAGATTTGCTTTTTCTTTGTGATTCAACCTTGGAAGATTGTATGGTATGATTGAAAAAACTGTGCGCTGCTTCTAGGTTGTCCAATTTATTAGTGGACAGCAGTTCATAAAATTCTTACAGTCACTGTGTTTCTGCAGCATCCACTGCTGTTTCTCTTCTTTCGTTTCTGATGTTTATTACCAGAGTTTCCTCTTTTTTCCTACTGAGTCTAGCTAAAGGTTTGTCAATACTCAGTACTGCCATCTTTTGTTTTCTGGTTGTTCCGTATTTCCATTGTTTCTTTTTCCTTGTTTTTCTGTCCACAATTTTACTTTGGTGATTTTCCATGAGATTTTTCTGTTTCCTTTTTTTTTTTTTAAAAAGAAATTTTTCATGTCTCTGCTCTATATTTGTTTTGTGTTTACCATGAGGTTTATATAAAACATCTCACAGATAAAATAGTCCTTTTTTCTCCTGGATGGTTTTCATTTGCTTACATGGGCTCCTTCCTTCCCTTCTTCCACTTTTGTATTTTGTTGTCTCAAATTATTCATTTTATGTTGTGTTTATTATCAAGTTGAAGTAGCCACAGTTTTATTTTATTTCTTACTATTCCCCCCCCAACCTTTATCCAGTAATTAAATGTTTAATAACCTATTTTGATAGGGTTGCAATTTCCTGATTCTATTTATCACCTTAGTCATACTTTCATGCATTCTGCCTTTTTGTTTTAGGAGAAGAGCTCCTTTCAACATTTCTTATAAAGCAGGTTTAGTGGTAATGAACTCCAGGAAAGACTTTATTTCTCCTTCATATCTGAAGAATAACTCTGGGGAATGTAGTATTATTGGCTGACACCTTTTATATTTCAGTATTTTGAGAATGTCATTCCGTTCTCTCCAGGCATATAGAGTTTCCGCTGAGAAATCTGATGGTCAAATGTGTGCTCCTTTGAAGGTTAACATCCCTTTTTTCCCTGGATACCTTTAACATTGTTGTTGGTGGTTGGCCTTTTTTTTTTTTTTTTTGCATTTACTTTAGAGTATTTTAATATAATGGGTCTTCAGTTCAGTTCACTTGTTCAGTCGTATCTGACTCTTTACAACCCCACGGACTGCAGCATGCCAGGCCTCCCGGTCCATCACCAACTTACGGAGCTTGCTCAAACTCATGTTCATCAAGTCGGTGATGCCATCCAACCAACTCAGTTGTCCCCTTCTCCTTCCACCTTCAATCTTTCCCAGAATCAGGGTCTTTTCCAATGACTCAGTTCTTATCAGGTAGCCAAAGTATTGGAGCTTCAGCTTCAGCATCAGTCCTTCCAATGAATATTCAGCACTAATTTCCTTTAGGATTGACTGGTTGGATCTCCTTGCATTCCAAGGGACACTCGAGAGTCTTCTTCAACACCACAGTTCAAAAGCATCAATAATGTGTCTTAGCGAAGGTCATTTTGCATTGAGGTTATAAGGAGTTCTCTTAGCTTCATGTAACCAGTTCCTTCGCCAGGTTTGGGAAGTTCTCAGTTATTATTTCTTTAATTAAACTCCCATTCTCCTCTCTTCTCCGTCTGGGATACCCACTATTCTAATGTTGCCCTTTCTAATAGAAATGGGTATTTCTCACAGGATTTCTTTTAAGATCTTAATGCTCTCTCCTCTTCTAACTGTAGCATTTCCAGATTTCTGTCTTTGGACTTGCTAGTTCTCTCTGCCATACAGTCTGCTCAACTTCCAATTCTTTCCAGAGAATTCTTCATCTCCTTTATTGATTTAACTTCAGAATTTGTTTGGTTCTTTTTTAGAGTTTCAATCTCCCTGGAAAAGAACTGCCTGTGTTCTTTCACTTTATTCTTGAGCTCCCAGAACTGTCTTTCTGCGTTTCCTTGTGGCTCCCCGCGTTTCTTCATGACAGCTGTTTTACAGTAGGGGGCACAAGAGCACAAGTTTCCGGCTTGTCCCACGTGAGCTGCCTCTGGTGTATCTGAGAGTTGGCACTTTCCACTACCCAGGTGACAGGTACCACCCAGTCCGCTAGATGTCACCGTCGGCGCCTCCAGGGTACTGAGGCCTTACTGCTGCCTGAGTCAACAGGACCACCCCCTGGGAAACCAGGATGTCAGGCGCCTCTGGCACGTTCAGAGTCTCCTGGGGGGCAGGTTCTGCTGCCTTTGAGGGGCGGGAATGTGTGGAGGGAAGCCAGGGTCACAGGTGTGTCTACGGTGACCGGGCTGTAGGGTGCCCAGGTCCTGCAACTGTGGGTACGGGGGCAGAGGCGGGAGCGGTGGGCACTTCCGAAGCTGCACAGACGGGGCTGCGGGCTCCACGGTCCCTGCTGCTGTTGCTGGGAGCTGGGGACAGCTCTGCGGCCAGGAAGCTGTGGCTGTCTCTGCCGAGCCCGACACCGCCAGGCTCTCTGGGGCTGCGGCTCAGACTCTGCGGCCAGGGCGCTGGAGTCTCAGCACCGCCTACCGCGTTCGGCCACCTCCGCTGTGTGTTCCCAGACGCCCACCTTCAGATGGACAGACATGAGGGATTCTCCAGCATCGAAGAGCTTTAGACAGAGGCACATAGCTGAGTTACAGATTTTTCTAACTTGTTGTAGATCAAAGAGGAGAGACAAAGGGAGTATCTCACGTGATGAGTTTTTAAGTGGATGATGTTATTTTTTGCTCTTGAGTAAAATGAGTTCCTGATATATTAACTCCTTCTCAAACTGATGTTGTGCAAATGTTTTCTCCCATTCTGTTGGCTGCCTATTCATTCTGCTAAGAGTTTCTTGCCATACAGAAGCTTTTTTCTTTTTTAATTTTAAATTATCTTATTCATTTTAATTGTAGGCTAATTACTTTACAATATTGTGGTGGTTTTGCCATACATTGACATGAATCCACCATGGGTGTACACGTGTCCCCCATCCTGAACCCCCCTCCCGCCTCCCTCCCCATCCCTCTGGGTCATTCCAATGCACCAGCCCCGAGCACCCTATATCATGCATCGAACCTGGACTGGAGATCCGTTTCACAGATGATAATATACATGTTTCAATGCCATTCTCCCAAATCATCCCACCCTCACCTTCTCCCACAGAGTCCAAAAGTCTGTTCTTTATATCTGTGTCTCTTTTGCTATCTTGCATATAGGGTCATCATTACCATCTTTCTAAATTCCATATATATGCATTAGTATACTGTATTGGTGTTTTTCTTTCTGGCTTACTTTGAGTGATGTTGAGCATTTTTTCATGAGTTTGTTAGCCATCTATACAGAAGCTTTCTGTAAATGATTTTGTTCTTATTTATTTTTAGCTTTTGTTGCTTGAGTTTTTGTGTCTTTTTTAAAATCCGCTGCCAAGAACAATGTCAAGGAGGTTTTCTTTATTCCTATGCTTTCTTCTAGTAGCTTTGCAGTTTCAGCTCTTACATTTAAGCTTTTTGTCCATTCCAGTTAATTTTTATGAGTGTTGTGAGTCATATTTCATCCTTTTGTAAAAGACCATTCTTGGCTTCCTTGTAAAATTTTAGTTGACCATATACTTATTGGTTTATTTCTGGGCTATCAATTCTGTTCCACTGATCTAGGTGTCTGGGTCTAAGCCAGTACCATACTGTTTTGATTATCACAGCTTTGCAATAAATTTTAAAATCAGGAAGTGTGATGCATCTAGATTTGCCCTACTTTCTCAGAATTATTTTGGCTATTTGGAGTGTTTGTGATTCCATATGAATTTTAAGATTGTTTTTCTGTTTCTGGGAAAAATGCCATTGGAATTTTGATAGAAATTGCATTAAATCAATAGATGGCTTTTGGCAATAAGGACATGTTAAAAATACTAATTATTTCATTTCATTAGCACAGACTGTCTTTCCATTTTTTTGTGTCTTCTTCAGTCCCTTTCATCAGTGTCCTATAATTTTCAGTGTACAGGTCTTTCCCTTTTTGGTCACATTTGTTATTAAGGATTTTAACTTTTATGATATTGTACATGGGATTACTGTTTTTCTTTTTCAAATAGTTCATCATTAGTGTATAGAAACAAAATATATTTTACTGGATTTGCCTAACAGGTCCATCAATTTCTTGGTATTATTTTTATTCTCTAGCTATAA